AAGCTTTTTTTTTTTTTAACTATGGCTTTATTCCTATTTCTGAAGCACTACAGCAGAGATCCCAGGTGTATTTACCCCAAAATGGAAGAACAGACATTTCTTTCAGACAGTATTAGTAAGTGAAAATGGTCAAATGAGAGCCTAAACCCAAGCTAAGTATACTTCAAAGAGCAGCACTAAATTTAAGCCAAGGTTTCAAAATGCAGCTGGGCTTCCAAATTCTTATCAAGTTATCTAAATACTGGCCCAATGCTTTCTAGTAGCTATGAATGAAATAACTGCATTCTTGGCAATTTTTTAACACTTTTATCAGAAAGAAAGTTAAGTGTTAGAATAACTTCCCTGTGGATATAGACATTTCTGGTCTTTAAGTAAGCATACCTGGATATTTTCCTAAAAGACGTGTATAGCTCAAAAACCAAGTACAATCCTGAGACAGAAACTACTGACTTAAAGTATTTCTCCTGTATGATGCATGAGGTCAAATAAGATCATCAATTCATCAAATGGCTTTTTTTTTGCTTTAAACCTATTATTGCTTTTGCATTGTGTAAGAGTGTCTTATCACTTACTGAGTAAAGAAGTTAAGCTATTCTGAACACAGTTATTCCACCTGAAGGACTTGTTAGTACTGGTAGCTTTATCCTTTCATAATATGCAAGAGTCAACACCATTCTTCTATATAAACACTTATCTTGTTTTCTGTTTATGTAACAATAGGAGCCTGACTACAGTTACCTCTCACAGGCCAGTAAAGTATTGGGGTGGAAGCCCTCCTAGATATTCTTCTCCTGTTATAGAATTCAGAAAAACAATACACTTCTAAAAGCTTAATTTTAATGCTGAAATAAAAATAAAGCAAAAAAATTACCTCTGTAAGCAGCATCCCCTGCATGCTCGACATGTGCAACAACAACAAACATCCTTAGGATCACGTGAAAGCAATAGTTTGCTTTTTTCTTTATACACAGCTTCTGAAGGAAAACAAGGTAGCAAGCACACTGTTCCTTCAGCTGCTATTTTCATAAAATGAAAGCCCTTTCACTAGTCAGTGTCAGCCTTTATCTGGAAACTCACCTACAAAAACATATTCTATTTGCAGATGCTCCCAAGGAAATACTTGGATTTTAAAGAATTGCAGGCATGTATATGAGAAAAATTTAGAATCACAGAATCATAGAATAGTTTGGGTTGGAAGAGACCTCTAAAGGTCATCTAGTCCAACCCCCTTGCCATGGGCAGGGACATCTTCAACTACATCAGCTTGCTCAGAGCCCCATCCAACCTGACCTTGAAGGTTTCCAGG